TGTGTATGTATGTGTGTGTGTGTGTGTGTGTGTGTGTGTGTGTTGTTTTGTGTGTGTGTGTGTGTGTGTGTGTGTGTGTGTATGTATGTGCTAAGTTCAGCTGATGGTTTTTGGTTAGACTGTTGGCACATCTACCTAAAGTCACTTATCTTGTACCCTGACCAAAAAGACAAAACCAAAAAGAAAACCTCCTCCTTTCTGCTCATCTCAGACAGACTGGGACTTTTTATACTTCTTTATTCCTCAAGAAGTAGACAAACTGCTTACTTTCTATAACATTTTGTTGTTAGCTAACCAATATGTAATTTGCTTATGCTGTAACCCACTACTCAAGGTATAAAAATGTACGAATGTCTTCTGTATGGGGTCCAGACTTTGAGACTTAAGTACTCTTGACCAGGCTGCAGCCTAAATAAAAGCTGCTTCCTGAACCTTTTCAGTGTTTTGCCTCATCTTTCCTGCAATAAACCCAGATGTGTCAGTCAACATTTACTGGCATTGCATGGTGTGATCCAATGGAAAGTACAAAGTGTTCATGTTTATGTTCAGAACCAAAACTGCAGTGAAGTCAGGTCATGCAACACGGGCAAGTGTTTCAAGAGACACTTTGGGATAACTACATTACATTATGTTATATTACATTTTGAAGTAATCTGGGGGCATTGCATGCTCTGCTACGCAAGTTTTCACAACCTCTGCCTTCATTCCTCTTATGGAGTAGGATCTGTAAAACACATAGTGAACAAAGGGATTCTGGTACCAGGCAGAACCCAATGAACCCACATGTGATTTCATCCTGTTACCAGAACAACATACAGTTTAAAACATAGGAATTGCTTATTTCTGGAATTTTCCACTAAAATTTTAGACTATAGTTGACCATGGGTAGCTGAAATGCTGGACATGAAAACACAGAGAAGATGGACGACTGTACACTACCTTTAAAGTAAGGGAAGGGGAATAAGGACATTTATGGAAAACAAATGACTGCACAAAGATCAATGAATCCTTAGAGAAGATAGGAGATATGGAAGTTTTGTGGTGATGTCTGCTTGGGTGTGGTTTGACATATGATTTCCAGTGATGACCCCATCTTCCCAGCTCAGCTCCTCTAGGAAGACTTGTAACAAATTCTTTAGGGAGGCCGGTTTTTAGGTAGATAAAAGATTCCAGAAACTCAAATGTGTCTACTCAAAAAATTAGGTCACAGTGGAGTATTCTCCTTGGCATATAGCATTTCCCTTAATCTATTACACAATATTTTTTGCCTTTAGAGTTTCCTCAAAAAATGTAGGTAAATGAAAGCTCATACCATGCCCCCACTTTTTTTTTTCTCCAAACATCTATCACTTTTACTTCAGTTAAATGTCTAAGCAAACTAGAAGACCTATGGTGAAAATCAAGATTGTGTGGTCCAGTCACTTTGCTATTTTATAGTAGATGGTACAAAATATGGCCTGGCTTTGATAATAAGCAACATATGGCTTCAAATGAGCCTGTGAGTCTTAAACTGCAATTTACATTGCCCAAGTGCTTTGCCTTGATTTTGGGTAGATAGGCTCATATTACTATTAGCTAAGGATGTATGTAAAGATTTTTTTTTCATTTTATTTATTTGGTGTGTATGTGTGTGGTGCCTGCATGTAGGTAGGTACATATGCACATTAGGTACAATGCACAGGAGTCCCTGAACTGGAGTTACAGTTGTTAGCTGCCACGTGGTGCAGTGAGTGGAACTTGTGTCCTCTGCAAGAGCAGCCAGTAATCTTAACGGCTGAGCCATCGCCACAGCCCCAAAGAAGACTTAACTATTAGACACAGGGTGTCATATATCCTGGGCTGGACTGGAACTCACCATGCCCTCAAGGATAACCTTGAATTCTTGATTCTCTCCTTCCATTTCCTAGCTGCTAGGGTTACAGGCATGTACCACCTTACCCTTTACTAGCTGCTGGGAGAGTAAACCCAGGGTCTCCTGCATGCTATGTAAGCACTCTATGAACTGAGCCACCTCACAGCACCAGTAATGAAAATTCATTAAAGAAGGCAGAGACATGTGTATACTCAAATATTTCAAAGTGGTATCAGGCTGTTCCCAAGACAAGTAAGGAACTCATCGAGCCTTTGGTCCACAGGTTTTGTCGGAGTAGGTATTTATTACCCACGCCTTTGCCAACAAATTCTGGGTTTCACCACGAGGAATAATAATAAACACCCTCAAAAACACGTCAGGTCTTTTCCAGCTGGTCTCCTTCACGCCACAGGCTTCCCGTGACGTCACCGGAAATGCCTGCTTGTGACAGTCAACGGCCCGCCCTCTCGCACTGGGCGCCGGAAGCAAAGCGGAAGTGCATGTGCTCCCGCTTCCGGGCGTGGCCGCCATTTTTGGCGGTGCTGGCGGCTTCCGAGTGCTAGTAGTTGGACTGGACCATGAGCTACGACTACCATCAGAGCTGGGGCCGGGACGCGGGACCGCGGGGCTCTGGCGGGGGCTACGGCGGCGGCCGCGGAGGGAGCCGGGGCTCGGGCGGCGGCGGCGGAGGCGGGGGA